ATTTTCCCTTTGCCTCTGTCTTCTCTTAACACAGTGTCATAGGCTTGACGTCATAGTTGAGCCGTTGAGACGTCAGAGCTTGAGATTGAAAACATTACATAGCATGGATTTTAGTAACATATTTGGGAAGAAATTTGTAGTTTTAGCTCTAACAAGATGGTCAGTTACTACCTCTATCTTATGACAGGCCAGAAATTATTTTTTACTTACTTTGATATCCTTTCACACTGTGAGAGAATATCATTTTGGTATCCTTTCACACTGTGAGAGAATATCACTTTTATTCAATAAATAATTCAGAGTATTTCACTGTTGAAAATGTAATAAAAAGCAGAAATCAATGATAGTTTTGTCTACGTTGTTCAAAGGGACATAATTTGAGTTATCAACCTTTGAAACAAAACTTACATTATGTAAATTTCCAAATAAACATTCAGTGACAAGGACAAATTGTATATAAAAGGTGTCTTTGGAGGGTGGATGGTGGGGAATATTTCTAATACATTGACAAGTAAAATAATTGTGCTTGTTTAAATAAAAGTAGAATTGCACCATACTGCACTCTGCTGCAATACAATGCGATACATTGTGATGCCTGCCAAATTGTCCAATTAAAGTTAACTTGGTCCATTTCTTTCCAAATTGAATTTAAAAACTGATTGAATACACACACCTTTTTTCATGTTATGCTTTGAAAAAAAAGTTTCAAAAACAGACTAGAGGGCATATCTTTTATTCTCATATTCTTAAATATTTGTTTTCTTTGATATGAATCAAAATTAACAATCAGTAATTAAGTCGAAGGACTTTTGCAAAGTCACGTGTTGCTTTTTTTTTTTTTTTGGTATGAATGACTAGTTTGGATATGCGCAAAAGATCCAAAAGAAATGAACACTCCTTTTTGACTGATGAGTGGATTTTTTTGTTTGGAAGAAAATTTATCCTGTTTACCATAAGAATTTAACTGCATTTTATTGCACTGCACTTCAATGCAATATCAATCGATAAAAAGAAGTCCATTTTTGTTTTACATTATAGTATTGAAAATAAGGTGTAAATTAACATATTTTCTAATATATTTTTATTTTTAAAAAAGTTTTGAAAAACAGGCTGGATGGAATATTTTCATTCACATTTTCTTATATGATTGTTCTCTTTCATATGAACCTAAATTAACAATGCAGTAATAATGTCGAAGGATTTTTCGACAAATTTTTTTCATTGCTGTTCAACGCCTAGTTTGGGTACATGAAAGATTGAAAAAGAGAGAAATCTCGTGTTTGACTGATGAGTGTAAATTTTGAGAGTGATGCAGATAAGCACCAGGAAGGATAAACAGAATATATTCTGATAACAGTACTTAGATCTAAGATCTCATCAAAGAACAGTTACTTTTGCTGATTTTTTTTTTATTGAAAGACTGATATGGATATATGCGAAACACCCCGAGGAAAATTGGAGTGTCGAGTGAAGTTCTTTAATTGCAAGCTAATTAATTTTGCTTTTAAATAAAAATACAACTGTTCTACAATACATTGCATTGTATAATGCTTGATGTACTGTCTAAGGTGGTCAATTTTCATTATTAGGCAAAACAGTGAAAAATATAATCTTTCCTGTTTGACTGATGAGTGAATATTTTGAGAACCGATGACTTTGTAGAACAATCAAAGACGCTTTTCAATACTGCTCAGTAGTAGTTGTTTAGTGAGATAAGCTCACACAAGTCCTTTACACGCGGCAGTACCCTAAAGCTCCAATTTTCGCCCTAAGTTATAACAAAAGCGAAGATTAATTAAGTATATTGTGATTTTTTTCCCACTCATTTCTGTTTAAAATCTTAAAAATCTTTCTGAAATTTTTGTAGGACATGTTTTTAAAAGAAACAGATTATAGCAATTTCCTGGTTTACTGCCAATTTTATTTATAAAACCGGTTCTGCCATATATCCTTTGAATGGGTCAACCTGCACCACGTGTCTTGAATTTAAATCACAATAACATTAGTAGAGGTGTTTCTGCAACTGAAAAATGAAATATACCCATATTCTTCATATAATCCAACTTTTATATGTTTTCAGGTTGCTTGTAATAAGAAATTAAGGACATACGCAACATAGTTTGAACCTTGTTGTCTTTTCCCTTGGAGTTGAAGAGTTCCAATACTTAAAGGAACTGTGTGATACATTTTAATGTCTATATATGCTGTTCTTCACTTCTTCTAAAACAAGTTTGGATAAACAAAACATGTAGAATATATGTTCAATATTTTTTGTATATTTTTCTTTGAATTATACAAGAATTTTCATCAATTGATATTTTTTCAAAACCCCTGGTAATGCATGCTGATTTTTTGTCTACGAACATCTGATGGCACTATAATTTTATATTAAGAATATCTAGAAAAATTATCAGTAGGTAAGGTACGTTGTGTATGTCCTTAATTTAAAAGATTCAACACATTTATTTCTGAAAAGTAACTATGCATCCTGCAAGTAGTATACACAAACCTTCTAGATGACAGGTGCTAATTAATGGGAAATTAGATTATATAGGTATGGGATATTGACTTCTTTCAAATAGAATGAGGATGGGATCGACGTGTACTTTTTATGCTCCCGTAAATGAAGAATTGGGGGTATATAGTTTTTGCTCCGTTCGTCTGTCTGTACATGGATGTCTGAAAAACTTTAATCTTGCCCTTAACATTGCTATGGCTTTCAAATTTCACATGTGTATTCCTTGTGACAAGACCTTTCTTTGAGTTAACAACATATTTGACCTGTTCAGGCCCGTAGGAAGCAATTTCAGTTGCGGGGGGGGGGGGCATACATTTTCAGTTGCAGGGGCACTACCAAAAATTTCCCAATAAGCAAAAAAAAAAAAAAGGGTCATCAACAACCAAAAATTCCTTAACAAGCAAAAAATATATAAATAAATAAAAAATAAGGTCATCAATCAGACGTTTTTATTGAAGGGGCACCAGCATATAGTATCTAAGTTTACTATAGTAATCCATATATCGGCAAAATTATTGGGGGCAACCCCCCCCCCCCCCCCCCGGTTCCTACGGCCATGCTCTTGACCTTGGAGAATGACCCACTTTTGCAAAATTTAGCCACACTTTAATCTTGGCTATAACTTTTGAACAGTGGGTGCTAGGGCTTTCATACTTCATATATCTGTGTATTCCTTGTCATAAGACTTTCTCTTTGGTACAAATATTTTTTACCTTGACCTTGGAGTTTGACCCACTTGTAAAAGACTTTAGGGCTCTAATTGAAGACTAATTTCTCGCCATGGCACCTAAAAAATTTTGATTGGCGCCTAAAATTTCTCTTTAAATGCCAAATTGGCTTGACGATCGTCAAATTCTGGAACTATAAGCATTTTCATCAATTATTTTTCTGAAGAGACGAAAAGAAATTTTAAAAGAGGGGAAAATCATTTTTTTTAACAATGGCTTTTTTTGTCACCTTCTTTGATTAATTGTTTTATTAGTAAGAGCACGTACGTACGAAATATCGCGTCGCGTCAGTGCATATAGAGCTTAGGTAGTATGTCCTCTACAAAAAATCAGAATTTTTCAATTTAAATTTGTATATGACAATTGTTATATACAAATTTTAAATTGAAAAATTCTAAATTTTTGTAGATGACAAGTAGACTAGATAAGACAATACCTGCCCCGTTAATTTTTGGTTCCAGAAAATGGACAATTGCGAAATGCAGTAAATTGGACGGGTTATGTGGTCAATTGTTTGCCACTTCTAGTGTTCGGTCGTAATTGTACGGACGAGCATCAAATGCATGTAAACAACCCTCGACATTATTATAGTTTAAACAGTTTAAAAAATATTTCATTAGATCCAACTTTCTTAAAAAGAAATGATTGCGTTTATTTTTTTTAATAGTGTTTACAGACATGCTCAAATTTAAACCATTTAGCATTTAACTGGATAATATTTCAAGGAAAATTTTTCTTCACGACTTTTGTTATTTTTGGCGAATGCACTGATTGCATTGGACGGAAAAAAAGGGGGTGTCAATCAAGTATAAAATATTTGCAAAGTAGAAACGGTTTTTTTTACAGTTCTACTTTGAACATTTCCTATAGTTACTGTATCTCCTACATTTCTATTCCAACTGGAAAGGGGGGCACAAAGATACTCGCACCAGACGCCTCCCTTCCGTGTTTACCCCCATCAGTCCCCGACTCACATTGGCGCCTAAGAGAAATTTGCCAGGCGACTAAAAAGCATTGGCGACTAAAATTTTTTAATTAGGAGGCAACTGGCGCCTCAATTTTAGAGGGCTGCCTTGGCCATAAGTTTTGAATGGTTGGAGCTAGGGCTTTCAAATTTCACAAGTGTTTTCCTTGTGACAAGGCCTTCCCGTGGATACCAGCAAGTTTGACCTACTTTTGAATTTTTTTTACCTTAGTCATAACTTTTGAACGGTTGGTGCTAGAGCTTTCATATTTCACAGATGTATTCCTTGTGACAAGACCTTTCTTTGGGTACCCCAATTTTTTATCTCTTGACCTTGGATTTTGACTTGCATTTGAGAAACTCTAACCTTCTCCATGAGCTGCCATACAGGGGCATCAGGGTTTCACAATCACATCTTGTTCATTCTGTAAGGTAAGGGATCAAGACTTTTCTTTAACTATTATTTTTTCCCTCCGGTCCCAACCGGACAGTAAATACTAGTATTACCTGGTGTCCCAGTGATCCCCTCGAAATACTCTTGGGTTCTATATATATATAATTTTTTCCCCAAAAAGATAACTATTTGAATCAGTAACAAGTCCCTGTCAATCTATGTATACAATTACAAAACGTGTTTCTCATCTGATGACCTGTAACATAATCTAGAATAAGGACAAGAAAGCAAGCATGACATGAAAAAAGTATCATAAAATTTTCATTTTAAGATAAACTTCATAAATGTAATAATTATATAAAACATGCATAAAAATATATATGTTGTAAATGTACTTTAAGTATGGCATATAAATATAGCTTTAAAGTATTGCACATATAAACATATATCACAGATCGAGAGCATAGTATTATACATTGAAAATTTCAGTATACAGGTCTCACCAATGCTGTTTTCGTCTGGTGTGAGTATGCAATGAAGCAGTCGTATAATTAAACTTAAATTTTTATATGTACCCTTTTTTTGTACCCAAAGGCTTTTACGTTGCGCAGCTTATACTATACAGCTTTAATTGAGGTATATTATAAATTTTCATCAGAGGAATTTGAATCTTCGAACTAAAACGTCAACAGTGATTCATGTAATCTTTTCTTTTTCTTCTTGCGAACTGCAACTTTTTAGTGAAGTGGTTTCTTTCATATATTTTTCCAGACATTCGTAGAAAGCTGCTTCGTACTGTAGAAATTGTACGTCGTCTCCGAGCGTGAAAGACTTAAGGTAGCTTGTGAGATAGCCGATCCCGACGTTATTTTTGACGTCTGCATAAGCGGCTTGTCCACCATAACCAGGGTGTCCAAACGATACGTGTCCCTGTAACAGACGACTTATTGTATAGGTTATCTGTGATTATACCAAATAATGATTTATTTACAGGAAAATCAATCCATAAAACTGACTATACGCTTTGGACGTACTAAAACACGCTTAAGTATGATACTAGTATGCCAATTTCTCAAAAATGATAAAAACATCAGTTTTGCATTTGATGAGTTAGATTTATCAACTATAAACTATAGCTTACAAAGCGTAAATTTTAGAAAACGATTTGTTCACAATAGTCTCCCAATTGAAACTACATGTACTTGTATATCTACCGATGTTAAAGTTTACGATTTCTATACATGAACACACTAAAAGAGTTTTTATTGATTATTAATGTATGTTTGCACATGGGACCTCAGTTTTCAAGGTCAAGACCCACAGATTTCACTTCTAAGTGCCGAGCGCATGGCGGAGGAACAGTTGCTATCAATTTTTATCGACTTCGGTTTATTGCGGCCGGGGCTTGAACCCACGACCTTCCTACTATGGAGCGAGCGCCCTATTAACCAATTCTAAAAAAAACCCCAAAACTATCAATTACAGAAAAATTATGCCTTTCATGTGTAAATTACAGTTTTCGGTTGCAATCTATAGTTACACTTATTTTCCATTGGACTGAATGTAGCGCTTTCATTGTTATTATATTGGAGTGATTTTAGTTTGACTTACCTGAGGAGTTGGTAAGAAGAAAACCCCCCGTCCTACCGCCACGTCAAAAAGTCCGTCCTCACTTCGACCACTTGTTACTGGGGTTCCCAGCGTGTTAATCGTAGAGGGGTTTAGGATGGTATTGTTCTTATAGGTCCCTCCACTGGCTAAAATTCCCCAAAGTTTCGCCAATGATCGAGAACTACCAAATCCCAGGAATGACGTCATAGGAATTTGATTTAAATCTGGATTGTTGTAGGCAGCAAACTAAATAATAAGAAGACATGTAACTGGAGTGGTTACTTGGATGTTGCGGCCAAGAAAAACAACACTATCTACTCCCTCCTCTTTTACCCTTAGATGCTTAAAAATAGCTGTCGCATTAGCATCATTAGATTGGCTTCATTTGAGTATATGATTTGTTTAGGAATTGAGCTTTAATCCAATTGTAAATCCAGAAATAGGAAGACCAAGAGTACGCATAAACAGGAGGTAAAGTGTCCAATTTTGGTCAATAAGAGACTTGTAGCCTGACTCCAAAGGCGTAGTCACAAGGGAGGAAGCAGGTGGCTTGTGCCCCCTTTTTTAAATTGGGGAGGGGAGTATCTTCGTACCCCCTTTTTGGTCAAAATAAGAAATACTTTTAAGTAGGATTGTCGGATGACCCATCTTTGCTTGTTGCCAAACTGGGAGATACATCTACTCGGCTAGTACCCCTCCCCCCACCTAACGCACACTTTTTCAAGTTTGTGAATACACCTTTGCACCACAGGAGTGACAAGCTAATTCTTTTTGCACATATTCAGCATTATTAAAACGTTGCCAAAATTAAAATCGCAAACCCCAAGATATATCTTTCAAGTTTGTGACTACGCCTTTGCACGACAGAAATGCCATGTAGAAAATAGAGAGCATACGCAGCATGCGAATTCTTTTTGCACATCTGACTGCCGCCTATTTAAAATTACCAAAATTAAGATCGCAATACCCCAAGATCCTATTTCTGAATACCTGGTACATGAAAGTAAAATTATACCGTGAGTTCCTGATTAAATCCGGAATAGCTGGCCTTCATAAACATCGACCGCGGGTTCAGGAGAGTGAAGAAGATTTTAAGTTGATGGAGGCTGAGGGATCGTAGTGTATGTTTTATAAGATTGGTCAGAGTCAGAGGAACAAACCGAGAATTACGGTACAGCTCACTTCTTGGGAGTCCATAGTGGATGTCAATATCTATAAATAAATGAATAATAAGTAAATAAATAAATACATGAATATATTAACTAATATAATAAATATCCTTGATGATTCTTTCACATCTTTACCAGATCTAACTGATATCACAACAGCACCTATTCGAATAGGCCTTAAGTCCAGGCTGCAATACCTTTACCAGATCTAACTGATATCACAACAGCACCTATTCGAATAGGCCTTAAGTCCAGGCTGCAATACCATAAACTGAAAACAGTCAAAATTTCAGATGAGTACAACTTTTGAATTTATTAAAAAAAATTAACTTTATAAACAAATATCAAGATTTCAAAATTTAAATTTCAAGTTTGTCTGTTCTCAGTATGGTTTTCGGCCCTGATGTCGTCGACATTGTGATTAAAGGGCATTTAAATAATCAGTATTTAATCTTGAGGTTAAAAAAATAGTGCAAGTTTGATTTTTTTTAATTAACTGAAATCTGACATAAATACTTTTTATGTCCCCGTATCGACGATCCGGGGGTATATAGTTTTTGCCCTGTCCGTCCGTCTGTTTGTCCGCAAAAACTTTAACCTTGCCCATAACTTTTGATTGGTTGGAGCTATGGCTTTCATGTTTCACATGTGTATTCTTTGTGACAAGACCTTTCTTTGGGTACCACCATATTTGACCTTTTGACCTTGATCTAGGAGTTTGACCTACTTTTGAAAAACTTTAACCTTGGCCATAACTTTTGAACGGTTGGTTGTAGGACTTTCATATTTCACATGTGTAATTCTTGTGATAAGGCCTTCCTTTTGCAACGAACAACTTTGACCCTTTGATGTCAACCTTGGAGTTTGACCTACTTTTGTAAAACATAACTTTGGCCATTACTTTTGAACAATTGGTGCTAGGGCTTTCATACTTTACATATGTAATTCTTGTGACAAGACCTTTCTTTGGATACCAAAAACTTTGACCCTTTGACCTTAAAGTTTGACTTACTTTTGAAAAACTTTAACCTTGGCCATACCTTTTGAATGGTTGGTGCTAGGGATTTCATACTTCACATATGTAATCCTTGTGACAAGACCGTCTTTTGGATACCAACAACTTTGACCCTTTACCTTGGAGTCTGGCCTACCTTTGGAAAACTTTGACCTTGGACAGAACTTAAGAACAGTTGGTGCTAGGGCTTTCATATTTAACATGTCTATTCCTTTTGACAAGACCTTCCTTTGGATACTAACAATTGTAATCCATTGACCTTGACCTTGGAGTTTGACCTACTTTTGAAATACTTTAACCTTGGTCATAAACTTTGAATGATTGGTGCTTTGGCTTTCATATTTCACCTGTATATATACCTCTTGGGAGCCTTTCCTTGGGCACCATTGATTTGACCATTTGACCCTGACCTTGATGTTTGACATATTTTTGAAAAAACTTTAACCTTTTCCATATCTGTTCAATGGTTGTTGCTAGGGCTTTCATATTTCACAGGTATATTCCTCAAGACAGGACTTTACTTTGGGTACCAACATAGTTGATTTGCATTTGAGAAAGTTTAACCTTTGCTATAAGTTGCCATACGGGGGCATCAGTGTTTCACAAACACATCTTGTTTTTTTTAAATTTATATTGTTGAGTACATGCATAAGCTAAATTAAGCTTAGTATTCTATTCTACTATTCCGTTACACCAAATCTTTCCTCGTAGCCCAAAGTTTGAAACTCTCATTTCAATTTAACCTACAAACAAGATGTGTTTGTGAAACACTGATGCCCCCGTATGGTAACTTATAGCAAAGATTAAACTTTCTCAAATGCAAATCAGATATGCTGGTACCCAAAGTAAGGTCTTGTCTCGAAGAATAAACCTGTGAAATATAAAAGCCCTAGCAGCAACGTTTGAATAGATATGGAAAAGGTTAAAGTTTTTTTCAAAAGTATGTCAAACATCAAGGTCAAGGTCAAATGGTCAAAATCAATGGTGCCCAAGGAAAGGCCTTTTGTTAAGAAATACACAGGTGAAATATGAAAGCTGAAGCACCAATCAGTTATGACCAAGGTTAAAGTTTTTCAAAAGTAGGTCAATTTCCAAGGTCAAGGTCAATAGATTACAATTGTTGGTATCCAAAGGAAAGTCTTGTCAAAAGGAATAGACTTGTTAAATATGAAAGCCCTAGCACCAACTGTTCATAAGTTCTGTCCAAGGTCAACGTTTTCCAAAAGTAGGCCAAACTCCAAGGTAAAGGTCAAAGGGTCAAAGTTGTTGGTATCCAAAAGAAGGTCTTGTCACAAGAATTACATATGTGAAGTATGAAAGCCCTATTCAAAAGGTATGGCCAAGGTTAAAGTTTTTTCAAAAGTAAGTCAAACTCCAAGGTCAAAGGGTCAAAGTTTTTGGTATCCAAAGAAAGGTCTTGTCACAAGAATTACACATTTAAAGTATGAAAGCCCTAGCACCAAGCGTTTTAAAGTTATGACTAAGGTTAAAGTTTTTCAAAAGTAGGTCAAACTCCAAGGTCAAAGGGTCAAAGTTGTTGGTATACAAAGGAAGGTCTTATCACAAGGACTACACATGTGAAGTATGAAAGCCCTAGCACCAATTGTTTAAAAGTTATGGCCAAGGTTAAAGTTGGGTAAAATTTTGCAAAACTGGGTCAAACTCCAAGGTCAAGGTCAAAGAGTCAAATATGATGGTACCCAAAGAAAAGTCTTGTCATAAGGAATACACATGTGAAATATGAAAGCCATAGCTCCAACCAATCAAAAGTTATGAGCAAGGTTAAAGTTTTTGCGGACAAACAGACAAACAGACAGACGGACGGACAGGGCAAAACTATATACCCCCGAATCTTCGATACGGGGGCATAAAAAAGGATAAGATTTTTTTATATGGTGAAAATTCTCTTTTACTCATTCAATACATTATATAAAATTGAAAAATTCTGATTTTCAAAAAAAAAAAAACAACAACAATGCCTTGAAAAAGTAAAAAGAATGTTACAATTAAAACTTGTGGTGAATTTATAGGCGCTTTTCCAAATATTCACAGAAAAAAAATAATTACCAAAGGGCAGAGCTATTTCCTCTCTGAAGATCTGATCGATATTTCTCTGTTTTGGATCCGCCCTTCTCAACAACACGTCAACGTACATTCCAAATGTTATCACATGGTATGAATAAGCAGTGCCTTTTGATTTAGACAAATAATATCATTTTTATGATTATATATATATAAGTTAATATGAATGCATAATAAAAAAAATACTGATTTATCAATGCATTCATGTGAACCCAGGCAGAATGCGGATAACTTTGAAATGTGATCAGTGTTGGAAATTTTACTATTCAATTGAAAAAAAAATATTTTATTGCTTTCAAATACAACTTCCAATCAATTTTGATAGATTTGACAATAATTTACGTCGCAATTGATGACTCAAAGTCCTAGGGGAAAAACTATTACACAATATTTCTGTGTTATTAATATACCTGGTTTCCAAATCGGTCTCTGGTTCTCTAAAAACTCTTCCACCTTTCTTGGGTTTGTTCTGAGGAGTCTGATGTCAATAGTACCGTTAGTAATAGATAAACCAGCCTAAAATATGGTATCTGTGCATTACAGATAATGTACAATTGATAAATGTTTTATTGATATACATTGTAGTCACTTTTACTTAAGGTATTCCAGAACACATCTTTCACACACACAAATATATGTATATTAGTAGCTGCCATAAATTCACGTTTTTGAAAAAAGATAAATGCTGATTGATCACTGATAGCATACCAGGAATATCAGAGATTCCGAATATCTTCGCCTACTTGATAAAAACTTCACAGATGTTTGATAAAAAAATGTATTCCATCATCTTTGAAACAGGTAAAAAAGGTACATCTTTTAATAAGAGGCACATGGGCAACAACGCCCACCTGAGTAAATATGGCTATTCTTGGTTTTCATCAGCAGATTCTTTATCCTATATATTCCTATGTAGATCTTTGATCACCCATTGAAGCCCCATCCACCCCTGGGGGTCAGGATTTGAACAAACTTGAATCTACATTACCCGAGGATGCTTCCGTATAAATATGCCTAATCATGGCTTTCCTGTTCTTGAAAAGAGGATTTTTAAAGAATTTTCTATGTATTCCTATGTAAAACTTTGATCCCCAATGTGGCCCAGTCCTACCTATGATTTGAAGAAATATGTATGTATACTAACTACATGTATGTATGCTTTCGTATAAATATGACTGATCATGTTTTGCTGTTCTTAGAAGAATTTTCCAATGCATTCCTATGTAAAACTTTGACTGCTCATCGTAGCCCCACCCTACCCCCTGGGGTTATGCTTTGAACAAATCTGAATCTACAATCCTCAGGATGCTTCCAAATAAATATGACTTATCATGGTTTTTCTGTTCTCGAGAAGAGATTTTTAAAGATTATTTTCCTATATATACCCATGTAAAACTCTGATCGCCCATAGTGGCCCCACCCTACCCCCTGGGGTCATGATTTGAACAAACTTGAATCTACTCTAAGTCAGAAAGCTTTCAGCTAAGTTTTATCTTTTCTGGTTCAGAGGTTCTTGAGAAGATTTTTAAATGACCCCACCCAACTTTATTTTTTCTTTATTATCTCCCCTTGGAAGAGAATGTGGCCCTTCATTTGAAAAAGACTTGAATCCCCTTCACCAATGATACTATGTGCCAAGTTTGTTGAAATTGACCCAGTAGTTCTGGACACAATACGGACAAATTTTAATCAGAAAAGCTCACTTGAGCCTTCGGCTCAGGTGAGCTAAAACTATTCCTTTAGTAATTGTTGTAATGTATATTTTTTTTTTAAATTTCATTCCATGAGGTAACCGATATGAATAAGCCTGAAAATTTTCGTTCAAGTATCACTCATTTTCTTTTAAATTTTGAGACTATAGCTAAAATTAAAAAAAAAAGGCTTTAAATTTACCTGGTGACTTAGTAACATTTCTACAGTTATATTCTCCTTGCCGTTTTTCCCAAACTCCGGCCAGTAATAGGATACACGCTTCTTGTAGTCCAGGTAGCCCCTGAAAGAGAAAAAATTCTCTTTCGGTGAAATACTACAAGCTACGAAGATATACTCTCGTCGATATTTCAATAAAATTCAATTTATTTGAAACACAGCATGTACCCCAATAAAAGTGCATACATTACTGAATCATCTAATTTTAAGCTTACCAAGGCTCAGTTGAGCTTTTCTTATTAAAATGTGTCCGTTGTCTATCGAAGTTGTTGTAAACTTCTCATAGCTTTTAAACCTTTTGAATTCATCTCCAGAACCACCCGGCAAATTCAACCAAATATTGCACAAAGCATCCCTTGGCAAAGGGGATTTAAGCTTGTTCTAATAAAAAACAAGAGGCCCAGGGGCCACATCGCTCACCTGAGCACTGTGGCCAGGAAAAAAGGAAAAATCAGTTTAGTATTGAAAAGCTTAAATGCATAAATGGTCCCAACCTACCCCTAAAAGGAAGTGGGGGGGGGGGTATGACTTGAACAAAATTAAATCTACACTGCTTACATAATTTTTTGACTAACTGTGACTTTTTTCTCTACAAGTTTGAACTTTCATTGTGGCCCCACCCTACCCCTGGAGGTCATGATTTGAACAAACTTGAATCTACACTATCTGAGGATGCTTCCATATATTACAAACCGTGGCTTTGCTGTTCTTGAGATTTTTAAAGGTTTTTCTTATATATTCCTATATAAAACTTTGAACGTTCATTGTGGCCCAACCCTACCCCCGGGGGTCATGATTTGAACAAATTTGAATCTACACTACCTGAGGATGCTTTCAAAAAAACATATCCAATCAAAGCTTTGCTGTTCTTGAGAAGAAGATTTTTGAAGATTTTTCCTATGTACACCAATTTTTTTTTTTACTTTGATCGTCCATTGTTGCCCCACCCTTACCCTGGGGGTCATGATTTGAACAAACTTGAATCTACACCACCTGAGGATGCTTCCAATATAAATATGACCAATCATAGCTTTGCTGTTCTTGAGAAGAAGATTTTTCCTATATATTCCTAAGTAAAACTTTGATCGTCCATTGTGGCCCCACCCTACCCCTGGGGGTCATGATTTGAATAAACTTGAATCTATACCACCTCAGGATGCTTCCAAATAAATATGACAAATCATAGCTTTGCTGTTCTTGAGAAGAAGATTTTTCCTATATACTCCATGAAAACTTTGATTGTCCCACCCTACCCCCAGGGGTCATAATTGGAACAAATTTGAATTTACACCACCTGAGGATGCTTCCAAATAAATATTACCAATCATTGCTTTGCTATTCTTGAGAAGAAGATTTTTGAAGATTTTTCCTATATATTCCTATGTAAAACTTTGATCGTCCATTGAGGCCCCACCCTACCCCCGGGGGTCATGATTTGAACAAATTTGAATCTACACCACCCGAGGATGCTTCCATATAAATATGACCAATCATAGCTTTGCTGTTCTTGAGAAGAAGATTTTTGAAGATTTTTCCAATATATTCCTAAGTAAAACTTTGATCGTCCATTGAGGCCCCACCCTACCCCCGGGGGTCATGATTTGAACAAACTTGAATCTACACCACCTGAGGATGCTTCCATATAAATATGACCAATCATAGCTTTGCTGTTTTTGAGAAGAAGATTTTTGAAGATTTTTCCTATATATTCCTATGTAAAACTTTGATCGTCCATTGTGGCCCCACCCTACCCCCGGGGGTCATGATTTGAACAAACTTGAATCTACACTACCTGACAATAATTCCATATGATTTTCATCTTTCCTGGCCCATTGGTTCTTGAGAAGAAGATTTTTCAATAATGCCATTAATTTTTTGCTATTTCGTAATTATCTCCCCTTTGAGGAGGGAGTGGCCCTTCATTTGAACAAACTTGAATCCCCTTTACCCAAGGATACTTTGTGCCAAGTTTGATTGAAATTGGCCCAGTAGTTCTGGAGAAGAAGATGAAAATGTGAAAAGTTTACGACAACAACGACGCCGACAGACAACGGACAAATTTTGATCAGAAAAGCTCACTTGAGCCTTCGGCTCAGGTGAGCTAAAAAGTATCATCCCTCGAAGGGAAGATGAACAAAGAAAAGGCAAATATGGCGTAGTGTAATTTACTAATTCGAAAACCTTCTTCTCAAGGACCACTGGTCAGAACAGATGAAACTTAAGAAAAAGCTTTCTGACATAGTGTAGATTTAAGTGTTTTCAAACCATGGTCCCCGGAGGTAGAGTTGGGATATATAGGGGATCAACGATTTTTGGGGGAATACAGTTGAACTTCGGTATCTCAAACACTGATATCTCAAATACCATGGATATGTCGAAGTGATTTGGAGGTCCCAAGTTCTCCCAACTACTTATTCCTTAAACATTTTACCCCTAAATCTCGAATCCTCGGATATCTCAAATTTATTTCTCGGTCCCATCGAGTTCGAGATAACGATGTTATACTGTATATAGTGAAAAATCTCTAAAAATCATCTTTTCAAGTGCAATGTGCAAGTATCTCCAGGTGTTGTTAAAATCACAGTCTACGGTGATAGAGTTGGGCCACAATAGAGGATCAAAGTTATGCTTGGAATATCTTTTTAAAATCCCCATCGCAAAAACGACAGTTAAACAGTTAGTAATATACATAATTCCAACATAGTGCAAATCAGGTTTGTTCAAATGATGGCTTTGTGGTTGGAGTGGGGTTAAAATATAGGTATTCAAAACTTTACAGGGGAATTCAGGTTTTTTTTTTAAAATCTAGAATACGAATAGCGACACTTAAAATCAAAATAATTTGCAAATGTTGTGGATTTAAGATTCAAGTGACTTCACCTGTGGATTAAAGGTTTTTCTCCTCAAAATATGGGGACTGGTAATAGTGTGGGGCTAAATTCGTTTATGTACGAAAAAATCTTTTAAACATTTTCTCCAGAATAGCAAGCCAAATTAGTCATATGATATTCAGAATATAACAGTGGAGTGTGGATTCAAGTTTAGTTGAGCTATAACCCCTTCCTTGGTCTTTAGTGCATAATTATTAGGTCAAAATTTTTCATGGAAATAAGTGAGGAAAACTGTTAATTCAAAATGGTACATTCTTATTTACATGCATATATACATGTGCATGTGCATTATGAAAGGTTAAGTTATTCCTACATAAGATTATTTACCAGTGTCAAGGTCTACAGTCCGGATCTCGCTTCCGCAATCTGATACATAAGATACCATAATTTTTTTTTTAAATGAATAATAATTATTATAGGCAAATAATGATAATTGGGTTTGAGGTTATTGCAGTTGTGTTGTTGTTTTGTATTTTACATGCATACCTCAACTGAACACAGGCGCGGATCCAGGAATTTTTTTCCAGGAGGGGGGGGGGGGGGGAGTCCACCCCAGTCAAAAAAATTTCCAACCCAAAAATTTCTTGACAAGCTAAAAAAAAGAACCAAAACAAAAAAAAAAACCCAAACCAAAACAACAACCCCCCGTAAAATCCATTTCCCAAACTATTTCGTGGTGGTGGTGGTGGGGTCCACGTTTTCTAGGGGAGGGGGGTTCCAAAAAAGTCATTTTTATTTGCTTCAGTATATTCTTCTAATAACTCTGCAAATTCCAGGGGGGAGGGGGGGTCCAGACCACCCCGCCCCCCCCCCCCTCCTCTAGGTCCGCGCATAGAACACAGGGTTTAAACATGATTTGTCCTGATACACGTACTAGATTCTTTTTTTTCTTTTGCTCTACATTATCTTTTCATTCCTCTCCCTCTCTTCTCTCTCTCTCTCTCTCTAGTAAATACTTTTAATGTTTTTTGGGGGGTTGTGATTTTATTGCAGGTAAACTCTTAATTGCCTAGTCTTGTGCACTGAGCAGTGTATGAACGAAGTTCGACTCCAAAAGAACCCAAAATGTGATTTTTGACATAAGTATATATGGAGGCCTACACTGAATGATATAGAAACTAGACAGGCATTACCTCAGCAATAAGAAAATCCTCCCGTTTGTCCTTTGGGGAAATAAAATCTTTGTTTGTTTGTTTGTTGTTTAACGTCCCTCCCGGGAATTTTTCACTCATATGGAGACGCCACCACTTGCCGGCGGAGAACTACAAATTTTGACCTATACTCGGCACTCGGGACCATTGAGCAGTGAGGAATCTTTTTTGTGCCAGCACCTACTGCAACACGGAACCTCGGTTTATACGGTCTCATCCGAAGTTCCGGTCTCCACGTCCCGCATTGGGATTCGAACTCGCGACGTAAGGATCAACTCCTTACTCCGCCACTTCAGATCAGACGCTCTAACCATTGCGGCACACGGGCATTTAGATAACTCTAAATGATGATGAAAGTCGCCTAATAGCTTCCAAATGTACATATATTTAAACACAGATTAGAAATAATATGTTTTAATCTTCAAATTCTTTCCATTCTGTTTTATTTACTATATTTCCACTTATGAAGTACTCCAAATGAATGAAAACTATATTCTTATCTTGAATAACTTTAAAAAACAAATTATCCTTCAAAGTTTCGATGAAAAAAATACTTCTTTTCAAACAACTCTCGGTTTTTCGAGCAGGCATTTGTGTCTGTAATAATTTTTTTTACCCGTAGTGCTATTATAATTATAATATGTGTTTGAATTAATTTATTATAGAAACAAGTGCCTGTGGTTTTTCGGTGGAAATACTAGTAATATGCATTTACTTCACCTATCCAACCTTGATATCATCCAAACATTTTTAAAATTAAAAGAACAAAAGAAAACTTGTTTAAACGTATACTTCTTGAACTATTATACACCACTACCCTTCACAACCAGAAGTAATGTCAGCATAACATATTTAAAAGAAGCAAATGTACCGATGGCTTACATGTACTATCATTCTTGAAAGTTTTAGACTACAATTATCTACCGCTGCTGAGAACTCGCGCAAAGAAAATCTTATTTTAAGGAAACAAAAACTCACGACTGGAAATGAATTTACAAATATATTTGACATTTAGGCATTTTCAAAGTCAGTAATATACTTAAAAAATATTTAATATCAAATAATCCATTTACAAGCAATACTTATCGAAAATTGAAGTTTAATGTAGTTGCCGTTTTCATTTTGGGTAAGGACAACATTTTTTTTTAAAGTTGCAAAAGATCCATGAAGTATTGTGATGCAAGTTTTAATTCAAAGGGGAAAACTTTAAATTTTCATTTTGATCACTTCCGGTGACGACCGCCTACTCCAAAAAATCCATCATTTAGAAAAAGTTTGGTATCTTAATCTTTCACCGTGGGATATCGCACGAAAAAATCTCTTTTAAAAAAGCAAATCAGACGTATCTCACGACCAGAAATGAATTTTGAAAAAAAAAATATCAACATATTATCGTTCTCTACCACCCCTGAAAGTTTCAAGAAAATTCAAGAAACTATATCTCTTAGAAAGGGGGAAAATAAACTGTTTCATCACTGTAAAGTCTTCCGTCTGAAATGAAAGACCTTGATTAATTATAATAATATACTGGCAATCCCATCCACGCACTCCTACGCTACACCGATAAATCTTTTCAATTAAATAAAGGGCGGGGTCCCCTAGAGCATATTTAAAATCCTGTTGCTTTAGAGATGATAAAATATCGACCTATTATCAAATCAAAGATGAAAAAAAAAAACATTGAATGATTTTGTTACTTTTGGGAAAGAAAGATGACAGTTTATGGTAGAAAAGATTCTGATTTGCTTTATTCATTACACACACACCCCTCTCTCTCTCTCTTCCATACACACAAACACACATTAAAAAGTAAATTATAATTTTAAAATATTTGTTTTGTACTGATACACTTCTGTACGATGGTCGACAGCGGCCGCCACTTTCTGGTTAAGAATATTGTCTTTTTGTACAGCGTTTTTGTCAATTCCGTTGACAAATTACATGTACAACTGGTAATGCTATATGTGCATGTACAGTTTTTACACTGATAATTTCCACCAGCGAAAAACATTAAAATTCTTTCGAGTGATATGAAATTAAGATACATAAAACAGGTCACTTGAAAGAGATAAACTGCTGCAATAAACTGCATTTTAATGATTTTCACCCCCAATTAGCCTGGGATATCGTAACCCAATTAATCCTGTTAGACGTAAAATCGTCATTCTGTCATATTTCTTGTACCATTACATATAAAAAGATATTATTTGGATTGCAATTAAAAAGGCGGACAAAAGTAATACGTTTGTTGTAATGGATATAAATAAATATATCTCCTCAGAGTGTATGAGACAACTCCATTCTACCTACATGTATTATGTAGAGTTAGAAAAACAAGATTTAGTAGCTCTACATGTTAGTATCCAATCTTAAAGTTTTTGGAATGGTGTATCAAAAACAGAACTTTAGATACGGAAATAGTCCGTTTTTATGCAAGAATAAAATGTCAACCCTAAATGTGGTAGTCTGTATTTGCTCTCTAAATATATAAAATTGTTATACATTTTAGAATTGTTTCCTATATAATTCTATACTAAAAAAGTCTAACATTTCCAATGTTTTACTGAGCGGTCATAAAAAATCGATGTTTGACCGCAGAGCGAGATATTGGACCTGCCGATGAGATGTTGGACCGCTTACGTCACATTATTATCACATTGGAGTTTGACAGAACTTGTCCAAGTTTAGACCGCAGTGCGGGTAAACAAAATTTACATCATGTTATGTCAAAATAAAAAGTAAAAGGTATAACAAAACATTTATTGACTGTGTTCTCGGGCAAAATGCGTTTTCTCGACCCCTCGAATCAAACTGTTTGCCTTCGGCCTAACGGCCTCAGGCAAACAGTTTGGTTCTTGGGTCCGACAAAACTCATGTTGTCCTCGAATCCAGTCAATAAATGTGTAGAATCACCTCGACCTTGCAGTTATGCTAGAACCTTAAGCTTATCACCTTCGAGTAGCCTGTTTTATGTATCTACATTTCATATCGCAAGAAAGAATTTTAATGGTTTTCTCCCGTGGAAATTGTCAGTTTAATTATTGTACATGCACATAATTATAGCATCACAAGTTTAGTTGTAATTTGACAACGAAAATTGACAAAAACGCTGTACAAAATGACAATATTCTTAATCAAAAGTGGCGGCAGCTATCGGTCATCGTAGTTCTGTACATTTTTTTTATGTCGAGCCTTAGAGCAATAAAACCTGGAAGTCGATCCTGAAATATTTTTAAAAATACTTGAAAAACATCTAAATTTCTCAAGATCTTACTTTTGTACGAAGAACGCCACAATGACAGCGGTGACTCCTTTAGTTGTAGAGAACATGATGGACAAGGTGTCATTTTGCCAGGGCCGTCCAGCCTCAATGTCCGAGTATCCGCCCCACAGATCCACCACTAACTCACCCTTGTAGTAGGCAGAAAAACAGGCCCCCTTCTCTTTTTTTGTCTCGATGTTCTTCCTAAAAAAAAAAACTTTGTGACCCTATTTTTAATTTGTTTAAGATGTTCGCTTTTTATCCCCTATTAAGCCCTTTTATATCAGCACAACCTCTAATGTTATTCTGATATACGCCGAATTCTGAAAAGTGTACCTGATTAAAGCAATAACATAGATTAACTGCACTAAGATATGCTTACATTATATTAGTTAAATGTTATGCAAAATTAAGATTTTTCAAGAACTAAATGAAAAAAAATTAACGACCACACCTATATACATAAGTTTACGTATATATACCTTATATATATATATATATATATATATATATATATATATATATATATATATATATATATATATATATATATATATATATATATATATATATATATATATATATACAATGTATACATATATAGGTGTGGTAATTTTTTTTTAAAACATGGTATTTCTTGTCCGAAAGTGTCAGAATCTTTATTGTAACAACTTTTTAAGTGTAAAGCAGATTCAAAATTTTATTAATTTATTTTACATTTAACAATCCGGAAGACAAGCCCCTATGAATCGAACCCGGGCCTCCCGATCATGAAGCGAGCGCCCAATCACTGTATTCTTACATCCACAGGCGAAAGCCTGTCCACTTCTCTAAAGAGAATACCTACCACTGGGCTACCGTGACCGGTATAAGTTATATATGGCGTAATTTTGATAAGTTCAGACCAACTAAAATTATAAAGATTTTTCTATTTGTTTTATTACTTTATATAAAGATGGGACTTTCCTGTAAATTACACAATTTAAATCAATCGCGTTTCATAGATATTAGAAATTTCAAACAATAACCGATTTATTTACCGACTCCGCATTTAAATATCGGACACCGTTTAAAGTCAATTTAACTACAGAAACGTTGGGTTGTTCAAGTTCAAAATCGGTGAAAATTTTAATTTGAACGTAAATAACAAATGTTCAACGACACTCAATCTCGTATTTTTATTTTTTAGCTCAGATACGCCATATATATCTTTAAATATGAAAAGACATATAGCATACGATATGTTCGATTCACAACTGTTACTCATTCAATACCCTCTTATCATAAGAAGCTTACAATTTATGAAACTGCAATATAGAACTTGCCTGAATACATCGTAGACCTTTTGAAAGGCTGGATGAACATATCCTCCGAAACAAGGAGGGAGATCTGGATCACTAAGCCATCGAAAACACAGAGGTAGCGTAAGAGAAAGGCAGACACAAATTAAACCCCAGATATTCCTCATGTAGAATTATTTTCCTCTTTAGATTCGGCTCGGCTAGATATTTGCCAAATACCTAGGCGAGCCTGACTCAACCGAGATTACTCAATCGCAATGGCTGCCATCCACACCTACTTACGGAACTCCAAATTAACATTTATATTCAAAACTAATGATGAGTATCGTTCGTTTGGAAGGAGGCCATTACAAGTCAACATTTAATACTTGAAACTTGAAACTTTTATTTTCACTAAAGCCCCCACATGGGGTATGTTAGTACAATAAGAGTTTAACAATTGAACAAATCAACGTGAACAGTAACATAATGAACCACAAAAAGAACTTTGATATGGACAGTACTGACGGTTGTATAAAAAAAATCGTTTAATGTTTACATTGTAGGAAGTTCAGGCATGAAATAATTTAAGAAAAGTTTTACAAAACTTAGCTAAACCTATTAGTTCATATATATCAGAAGTATTCATCAAATTATAAAAAGATATTGTGTTTGGATTTGTGTAAATATTGCTAGGTATAAATTTCTGTCTTTCATTCTTAAAAAAAGGACACTTAAATAACCAAGTTCATTGTTATTGCAGAGGTTACAATGTCTCTCAGATCTATCAATACTATAAAATCTAACAGCTTCAATTGGCAAGTTATGACTGACACAACGAAATTTACATAAATATAATCTAAGATCATTTGGTAACATGTTGAGATAATTTTCAAAACCAAAATCACACTTGTACATTCTATAATTAAGGCATTTTGGAGAATTTAATACATTTACATTCCAGTCTTGGATAAAACTATTTCTTAATGTATTCTTAACCAACACACCAATTTTGCATGATTTATCAACATACTGAGCATTCCACATTAGATCCAAATTACAATCATGTAAAATATTCTTAATTTCCATGAGCCATTTTGAATGGTAAAAACCTTTTGAGCTAAATTGATACAAAATTGAGTACAATGTGAAGGAAATACGTTCTATTTCCACTATGGAAGAGTTATACTTCTTAGTGCGCTCTTTTGTGAAAAAGTCGGAAAATGTACAAATCTCGCGGGAATTCTGGGACAAACGTAACATAAACAATATGTTGAATGTCGATGAACAATTCCTAAGAAAATGCAAATGAAATATTTTATTGTTGTGGACTTTATATACATCAAGAGTAGGAATGACAACAATATCAATTTATATCTAATGTAGATCGTACGTATCTATTTATCGTATGGTACATCTAAATACAATACACATGCCTCGGAAATGTCGTATTTTTTATTAATGGATGATAAATTTAGGGTTCTCGCTCTCTTACATATGTCTTTTAGTTCTTCTACTCTTTAATTGGAATGACAAATACATTTAACATTTAAAATTGGATTTAGATTGGCATGTTTTGTTATCCTCAACGCCATGCTGTCCCAGTCAGACGACCAAACGCGCCTCTAATTTTGAAGAGTTCACTAATGGAAATAGAATGCTGAATTGCACTGAAAGCCTTAATTCCGTATTTAAAGTACAAAAAGGAGGTATATTAGTACAGTCATTACACGACAAAAGGACAAATTCATGTTATAAATCATGGAAAAATAATTGTCATAAGGCGATGTTACAGAAGTTAATGCTAAACAGGCCCCAGGATCATGAAACAGTCTTAGAATTTTCAATCGGTAGTAAAATGTTTACTTATTATTGAATTAATATCTAAATTTGCAGAAAACAACACTTTTGTGAAGCAAAATTAAACAAGAGGCCCATTGGCCACATCGCTCACCTGTGTAACTTTGGCCTTGCTGTTCTTTACCAGACACCCCCCCCCCTGTAATACCTATTGTGGCCCCGCCCTACCCCCGGGGTATGATTTGAACAATTTAGAATCTACACTACCCCAGGATGCTTCCACATATTAAGTTTCAGCTTTTCTGGCCCAATGGTTCTTGAGAAGTTTTTTCCTATATATTTCAATGTAAAACTTGGATTCCCTATTGTGGCACCGCCCTATCCCCGGGGGTCATGATTTGAACAATCTAGAATTTACACTATCCAAGGATGCTTCCACATAAGTTTCAGCTTTTTTGACCCAGTGGTTCTTGAGAAAAAGATTTTTTAATGATCCCACCCTCTTTTTGTCTTTTCTTGATTATCTCCCCTTGTAAGGAGACTTGGTCCTTAATTTTAATAATTTAAACTCCTCTTCACCCAAGGATACTTTGTACGAAGTTTGGTTTAAATTGGCCCAGTGGTTCTTGAGAAGAAGTTGAAAATGTGAAAAGTTTACAGACGGACGGACGGACGACGGACAACGGGTGATCAGAAAAGCTCACTTGAGCTTTCAGCTCAGGTGAGCTAAAAATATTTTAATGTTGGTCTGCTTGACTTCTACAACATTTTAGTATAAAATAAAGATTTTGTCTAAAAGTTTAAGATGTTTTATTATCCTGGGGCAAGGACTCATTACCGGCCGCCAGGAGGCGGTCGATTATATGATATGAATGTTAGACTGGTTAACGGGCGCAAGCGCTATGAAAAACCAATTTTCTTGTCTTTGCATTATACAAAAAAGACATTACTTATTAAGTTAATAAACAGTATATGCTTATAACTTTGTATTGAGAAGAGATAGGACATTCGTATTTGACATGTGCATTACCTGTGACAAGACCTTTCCATATATACTATGATTTCTGACCCCTTGACCTTGAAGTTTGACCTGCTTTTCTATAATTTTAACATCACTTAAATTGGTCATAAAATGTGAATGAGAAAAGATAGGGCTTTCATATTACATATGTACATTATCTGTGACAATGTGTTTCCGAGCATGCTATTATTTTTGTACCCCTTGACCTTGACTTTCATGTTTGACCTTATTTTCAAAAAAAAAAACTTTTAAAAAACTTTTAAAATTACTTTTAAATGGCATATGATAGGGTGTTTATATTTGACAAGTGCATTACCTGTGTCAAAAGTTTTCCGAATGTGCTATGATATTTGACCCCGTGACCTTGACCTTCAGTTTGACCTAATTTTCAAACATTTCATCAGTGTTGCTAACTTTTGAAGGAGCAAAGATAGGGCATTCATATTTGACACGTGCATTACCTGTGACAAACATTTCCAAACATACTATGATTTTGAACCCCATGACCTTCACCTTAAAATTTGACTTAATTTTCAAAAATGTTAACATTGGTGATAACTTTTGATTTAGAGAAGATATGGCATTTACATATGACATGTGCATTACCTGTTTCAAGACCTTTCCAATTGTATACTCTGGTTTTTGATATTTTTTCACATGTGCATTACTTGTGACACTTGATCTTTCGGATTGTATTATGAAATTTGACCTCATAACCTTGATCTTGAAGTTTAATGTAGTTTTGAGAAGCTATAATCTTTGCCATAACTGTTATTAATTCAATAATTTATGTTTTTTTCCTTTGTGTGATGCACAGACAAGACAGGACACACAAACAAGACAGTTACAATATGCCATAAACAATTGCATCCCATCCACTAAGACACCGAAAGCGGGGGACCACAATTCTTTGAATTTGATTGTTCTGTCGAAAAAATAATGGTCACAATTATCTGGTTCGAAACTAGGATTGATCATATTAGGTTCCATGGGCACTTTTGGGTAAGTCCAGTTCATTGTCAGATCTGCTTGATTTGCGTGCAATTAAAACAAAAGCGTTACGGGGGTTAATTTAGTTTCTGCGACATTGTAGGATTTCGTATGAAACAAAAATACATTACTTTCTATATGAGAACAGGTTTGTTTTTCTTTTTTATATAGGAAAAAAATCCATGCACTTAATTCGGAACGCTGCATTGTTGCAACCACTATTGAAATAACGACCACTAATGAAATAATTATTTCAATAGTGGTTGAGAATGCATTTCAAAACCAAACACAGCTTGTAACCACTATTGAAATAATGTTCACTATTGAAATAATTATTTCAATAGTGGTTGAGAGTGCATTTCAAAACCAAACACAGCTTGTAACCACTATTGAAATAACGTTCACTATTGAAACAATTATTTCAATAGTCGTTAAGAGAGCATTTCAAAGCCTAAACCAGGTTGTCATCACTATTGAAATAACGGTCACTACTGAAATGATTATTTCAATAGCGGTTTTTATACGTGTAACCACTATTGAAAGTACGACCTCTGATGTTATAACACTTATACTTAGTTTTCCCAAATAGTTGATTTTAATGTATTGACAAGAAACTTTTGATTTACCCTCCATATTAGTAGTGTGGGCAAGCCCAAGAATATAAGCGAAAATTTACTTCTATTCTATATCCTTTTGATTAAAATTAATCTTTTTTTCATCAGAAAGTATATTAGATAACATATTAGATATCAATATAGATGTCTTCCTTCTTCTTTTTAATGTAGATATTCTAATTTCTACAACTATCCGTATTTATAATTTTTTACTTTCCCCAATTAATAACAAAGATGAAAATTATATAACAAAATTACTTAAAATTACTAGATAAGTTAAATCACAGATATCCGTGTATTAATAGTATTTCTGGACAGAAATTGAAACATAAAATTACATATCATATTTAAACTCAATAAATTAATTTTATTATGTTGGAAAACATAATGAAGAATTTCTCCTTATATTTTTTCCAATATTGGGGTTATTTCAATGAGGGTTGCAATTTGGTTTTTATATTGAAATCATTGTCAGCAACTATTGAAATAATGATTCCAATCACTATTGAAATCATTATTTCAATCACTATTGAAATCTTTATTTCAATAGTGAACGTTATTTCAATAATGGTTGCAACCTATGTGGGGTTTTGAAATGCACTCAATCACTATTGAAATAATTATTTCAATAGTGAACGTTACTTCAATAGTGGTTACAACCTATGTTTGGATTTGAAATGCACTCTGAACCACTATTGAAATAATTATTTCAATAGTGGCCGTTATTTCAATAGTGGCTACAAGCTGTGTCTGGTTTTGAGATGCACTCTCAACCAC